TAAGATGAGATTATTGAGGTCCACGCAAAAACATTTTGGTTGGGGCAATCTGTCGAACAATAAGCAGGCTGTTTCTATGTAATTGCAATCTCTTTTAAACAAAATTAATTAGGTTGCAACAAATGGGTAGTGGTCTGGCCCGTGTACTATTATATGTTGATGGGTTTCTTTTCCTGGGTTCAATAATCTGGAGTATAATTCAATGGCTGATTTGGAACAAGTGTTTGAAAAAACATAAAACAGTTGACATGCATAAATAATTCAATAATAATACAAGTGTGAGAATCTATCCCTACGAATTACTAGTATACAACAAGAAAATATACAAGTCAAGATTCAATCCCAAATGATTGAAGAAAAGGGACATCGAATAAATTGGAAGTCAAATGGGTACCCTTTCCTAATTAATTAAGTGAATAAAGTTGCATCCCATGATAACGTATGGTCTACGGGGGATGCCCCGTTCTCAGCTTCTCTTTGACAATGCTTAGTAATTCCATCTTAACATTGGGTTAGTATCTCAGCACCATTCTCGGTAATTAAGAGGGTATGCTCGAATTGAGCGGACAGATTCCCATCCTCTGTCACAACAGTCCAATTATCATCCCACATTATTGGGTTAATGCTGCCAATTGTCAGCATCGGTTCTGCACAGTGATATATGATTCTTGTCGTCGATGTAATAAACCGTGAAAAAAGAATGAAGGCCAAGAAATAGAAATAATTTCGTGCTAGAATCATGATAATGACCATCATATAAAGAAAATCTACAAGGTTCAACAATGAATTCAGTCATTTTGGTTTTCCTTCATGAAATTAATAAGTCCAGAGGAAATGATATGACAGCATATATCAGTGTGTTGAATTGTATCCATGACCCATTAAGACTTGATTGGCATTTCCTACATTCTGCTATCTTCGATAGGAGAGTAGGAATGCATCATCAGCAAATCATATGGGCCAATTTGCAATCATTATTATGCATAAATTCTCAAATATTTTAGATCTCATACACCAACATTTCTACATCATCAGCACCATGAGATGTACTTCACTGAGGACGAAAGCATTAGACAAGATATATTACCAATTGTGAAAGTCTGATTCAGCAACATGCGTCCATGACCATTGTTCACTACAAAAACCAACATCAAGAATATATAAAGGTGTTAAATATACAGAGTCAGAGAAACTCTTCGGAACATGATAAAAAGGGTGCAGGATGGTTGGGCAAAGGCCCGTAAAATAAAAGTATTGACAAGGCCACACAACAGAAAGGCTGACTTTCTAATTTTTCTCCACTCAAACAAAGGAGCGGTGCTTTCAGTCTACAGTGTTTCATTTGTCCTGCCAGTACCTTACTACTAAATTGTTGTGTAGGATGAAAGATATATCTAAATTCCCCAAAATTTATAGCAGTTCAAGTAAGCCAAACGTTTGTAGTGTAAGTGAAAATTCATATTAAGATCTTCAAAAAATATTTACAAAACTGCCTTTCAAAGAAGAATATATGTACAAACGCCCACGGCCAGAAAGGCCATTATTCATCTGAAATAAAGCATCACATAGACTCTTGGAAGAATATAGGTGCAACAAAAAGAATATATAAGGAAATATTAACGGATAATCCTGTTCTTTTTGGAGGAAATCCTACATTTCATAATGTTGGTGACAAGTCCAAACCTACATGAAGAAAGATTGGGAATAGAGCTTGAAAGTGAAAAGAGTATTAAAAATCGTAATGGTCGCAGCAAGTACAAGCACACATATTCTCCAAACCAATCTGAAGATAGAGCAAATATCAACCAACACAATGATACCTAAAAATCTAGAATTGAGATGGTTCTTTTTAGTCTGTCACAAGTCATATTAAATATATCACTTCAAAATATGGAATGATAAGCAGAAGGCTTGCTAAAAGTACTCTTTGACTCCAAGAATGATGCGAGGCAATCCCCAATTACCAATCCAGTACTAAATATTTCCCTTTATTTTACTTGGATCTTGTGCTCCCCATGACTGTTACTTATAAGAGGAATCTATAGCTCGGTCAACAGAACATATATGCACACTAAATCATTACTATTTAACATGAAGACAAAGATTGCAAAGACACAGAAAATGTTAACATTAAGTTGGAGAATTTACTGAAGTGCAGAATGACTGGATCGCTATGGAAAACCCGTCCAACTCCATGGCCAACAAACTGTTGGACAACCCCGTAATGGTGTTTATCTGCACGGTCACTTCAAAGAGAACATCAATACTAAGTATTAGTCAGTAAAGAAAGTCTGACATTCTGCAAAGGACTGAAAAGTGTAATGCCACGATAAATTGAAAATTTGTACATTAGAAGAGATTTCCATTGTTCTATAGTTTAAATGGACGAGTTATAATGACTGCTTTCAGTTAGCATGGAAATAATAGTACTAAAAATGTACATTACATTTGTGTATGCAAGAACATATGCCTGCGCTCGTCTCTGTGTGCATTGCACGTTTATCAATACTAGAATGTAGATTACATAACATACGTGAAAAATAAAAGATCACTAATTTATACTCAAAGTATAAACATATACTAATTAATGTTTCTGATGAAGAAATAAATATAATTGAAAACAGCATATCATGTTTAAGGAAAATATTAAACTGATAAAAGATTACTTACTGTATTGTCTTGCCAACTTTGTTAAATTCTACTCCTGGTGCACATATTGATATTGCATTGTCAAGGCATTCTTTGGTTACCTAAAGCAACACACGAATTACTCTCAAGAGATGATAAAAGTATCTACAAATCTAAGTTAAATGTCATTGAGAATGAACTTAATCTTCTACAGTGGCACAACAGTTTGACATATTGACAAAACCAAATAGAAGAACTGATGTGCTCCACAGGCAACATACAACAGAATAAAGCAAGTGGGAATGAAAACAGGAGAAGTTTAAGTCCATGAAATGGTGTAGTAGTTCCATGAACAGAAAATTCATTTTGCATTTCTAGAGAAGACGTACATTCAATATATCATTTTAACCAAATGGAAATGTATAAGGGTAACCAGAACTGCAGCAACCAGAAAAGCATACTTTTACCAAGTTTCTGGCTTCCTCATCAACATCTCCAACAAAATATGTTGTTGAAGTATCACCATGATAACCCTGCATAGGACAGTAAGTTGAACAATAAAATACAGTAAAACAAACTTATAAACTTGCAGAAAATTATATTAAAGATATAGATCAGTGAAAAGTTGCTCCAACAATCAATGAAGAGAAATACTAGCATCACAAATAACATAACATAATGCAGTAACAGGCTATAATCGCCATAGAACAACATTCCAATAACACAATATTTTCCTTTCCAAGAGCTAGTAGGCAATTGTACAAGTGTATTTGAAAAACACTACATGTAAGCTCTCAGCAAGTTCTAACTCCAGGTCCACAGACTAAAGCCTAGATTTCATCATCTCATGGTAGATAACATAATCATTGATTGGATAAATCATTTGAGGTTATCATCATCCCACTGCTATTCAAACGCACCAGGAGTTTTTATATATTCCAAGCAAAACCATTATCCATCTGGCAGCAAGATACAAATTTCCTTAGTAACTTTTATTTTTAGGGAAAAATCTAAAATACAATCTCACACCAATGATTCCTTTGCATCCCTATTTTAGTTGAAGTGAAGAATACAGCATGGCTTTAATTGATTGATAAAAAGCTTACATTGAGATAAACTGTGATGTCAATATTGACAATATCACCATCCTGCCAAGACAACATATACCAGAGATCTTAGACTTGCGAATATATGAAAATTCTAGAGATGAAGAATCAAATAATGACAATGGTTCCGTACAACAAACCTCAAGCACGCGTGAATCTGGGATTCCATGGCAAATGCACTCGTTCACAGATGTGCATACACTCTTTGGGAACCTGCCATAACCAAGTGGAGAGGGATATGCTCCATTGTTGATGATCATATGATGAACTGCTTCATCAATTTCATCCGTTGTTAAGCCTGGCTGCCAAGAGAAGGAAAAAAGAAGAAGTTAATTTCAGCATACAAGTATAATTAATTCAGGTGTACCTAGAAGGCATATAAGGGTTCAAGACCAACAGTAACTTGTTACAGAGTCTGCAGTTAAATAATCTAATATGCGTAGTAAAATAGCTACTTAAAATAGGTTAAGTGACAGGATGAAGATATTATTGACCACCAGTGGCGGGCTATTTCTTCCTAGTTCCATGTCAATTTGAATGCCTTAACTGGGACTAAAGCCACCTCATTGACAGTGAGAATTTGTAGTGAAGCTAAAAGCTGTGTCTGAAGTTGATAGGACATCGATGAAGTGGTCGAAATGATCAGAAATTCACCTTGATTAAGGTCCCAGCATACTGAAGAACCTGTGCAGCGAGCTTTCCTGAAGCTTTCATGCATTCTATCCCTTTCTTATCATGCACCTCTGGTCTACTTGCAAAGCCAGGTGGTTTCTTAGAATTGACATAAGGAGGCCTTGGTATGTGAGCAGGGACAGGCCGATGAGGAGACACTTTCCCTGCTCTTAAACATTTACGCTTGCTATTTGGCAATTCTTCTATAGTTCTGCCAGTGTTAGTAGAAAATCAAAAATAGATATGTGCAAATAAGAAAGCACAAAAACTGACACATATTAAGGTGCATGCATGCACACATACAGATGCACATTGAAGATTAATGTCAACAGCAAAACTGCAACCAGTAGTAAACTTTGGTTGTAAAGATGTTTCAAATAAGTTTATATGATTTAGGCACACAAATGAAAGAGGAAATGAACAAATCATTTAACACTCCGGTCATTTTTCACAATTTACAGCAATAAAGGACTCGTACAAATAGTTGACAGGTGAAATACATCAATAAGTTCATTATTACCTTTATCTTCTGCCTCAGAGCAGTCAAAATGCAACCAAGTGAAATATCCATGGAATACTAAAGTCTCTTATTGCTTGAGGCTTAAACATATCAAACACTCTTATAGCTTAATGTTTAAACACATTAAATTCTCCTTTTTCTTCTTCAGCTTAAAAATACCAGCTAGCAGCCATGGTTCAGAAATGTTGTGTCCAGCATTTTTTTGATTCTTGTCTTCTTGTTGTTGTCTTATCTAAGTTATTGCAACTTTGTAGATTAAATCTATGTTATAGGTGAACTTATAGTTTCATGAGAAGAGTACAGAAAACAGAATTCCAGATTTATGTGAAAAGTGCAAAAGTAATGATCTAAGTGAAATGAGCTAAAGTGATCAGGAGTTGGAGTAATGAACTCTTCAAAGAACTATCACCAAAGAACATGCAGTTGAGTGGAATTGACAGATACAAGTAAGTGCAAGTGTGCTCATGAATCATGATGTCACATGATTGGGAAAGTGAGCAGATACCAAACCTTCTGTTGAACAATAAATTTGTTAAACCAGAAAACTTTCTCGAATTGAGCATTGACACATGTTTTCTACCTGTATAAAAGTAGAAAGTAAATAAAACCCAATTTATTAGTATGGCTATATAGGAGCTCGATCTAAAAAGTTCATTTAGATAATTAACTGGTACACTTTTGAATGCAAATATCAATCTCAAACGAAAAAGACTAATAAAGATCAAGATCCCTGCTAAAACTAGAAAAAATAGGAAGAGCAAGCTGTGGGTAAAGATTAGAAGTTCTTTGGTTCACAAAGCTGCAATTCTTCACTAATAGCATTTGTAAACTAATAGCATTTGTATATGATAATAAAACTTTCAGAAAAATGTATATGAATTAGAACAATGCAAAGACAATAGTATTTGCAGCAAAAACAACATATATATGTTTTTTGGGTTTAAATTTTGCAGCAATATGAATCCAGAGTGGGAGGTATCCCGTATTGTTTTAAGCATCTTCAAACCCGTGCACTGTGGTTCCAAAGACTAAGGGTGCGGTTGGTTTGCCGTTTTCGGGCCATTTTCCATTTTTCGTTTTCGAAAACTCTAAAAACGCGTTTGTTTTAACCAATATCGCGATACCCTATAAGCGACTTTATTCTTAGATAAACATATATTCGAATTATCTCTTCTCGTGCATGCGATTTTAAACAAGTTGGGAAGGGCTGTAACGAGACATAAATAAGCACAAAATAGATCAAGCCCAGTTCCAGCAACATGCAAAAGACAAGGAAATGAGATAACAAATGAAGCCCAGAACAAGTGAGAAACCAAGCAACTACTCCATAACGGCCCAACCCACCAACATAAAATATCCAAGTCACATGGACGAACCAAGAATCATAAACAGCTCATACATAAATTTATAATATATCAACACTATTTGGTTTGATCTATCTCTTCATGAACTCTTTAACTCATAATTTCTCCTTATCTCACATCTTTTACAAACTATTACACAATCTATGAAAACAATTTTCGTATTGACTTCAAAATTTTATCGACTCCTAAGTCTACCGAATTTGGTCGCCTTTCTGCCCACTTATATGGTACTTGTCTATTTAAATAACATTACAATGCAAGATCATTGCTCTGATAAGAGTCACGACGATCATATACACTCAAACAATCAAGATAGAAAAAATTGGATGTGGGGAAATAGGTTGACAGGTTTTTGGCTAGGAAATTTTGATTTCACATCCTTGGCTCTGTGGATTACTGAGGAGTTAAAATTGCAAGTGAATAATATTACTAGACAAGCAGTAAAGTCAACCTATTGAGTTTGGATTATCATCTCACGAAAACTACTCTACACAATTATTCATTTTAGTAAATCTAGCTTATACTTGAAAAATATAAATTTTTAAATGAACGATTTAATAAATTGTCTCACTTTCCCATGTTTATCAACTTGCGTTCTTCTTCTGTATATCCAATAAAGCCCTCCATGTGTTCGGATGGGCTAGCCTTAGCCTTGGCCTAGGCATCGAAACACTTGGCTTTGTATTTCAACAACTTGGGTCAGCCCATCCTTGGCTTATAGGGCATAAGGTGTCGACCTCAGCTTAGTCCTAGACCTTCGGTTTTTGCATCAAATTTTTAGGTTTCCACTCTTGGGGCCTGTATGGAGCTTTGGCTATGCTAGGCTCCAAGGTTCGGCTTGGGCCTCGGCTTAAGTTTCGGTCTCAAGTTTAAAACTTAAGTTTGTTATATTCGAATATGCTTACTCCGTCATATAGACTCCTCGGTCGCCAACCTAGACTTAATTACGGAGAGCTTGAGTCGAACACATGCACAGGGTCTCCACGTGGAGGAAACTATGCCTCCAAGTGAGGTGGAGGTATAATGGTCGTACTTTCTTTTTCATTTTTTCAAGTTAATGCTAAAATAAAAGAGCAATGTTATACAAACAGGGCTTTTGATGGGCTCTGTGACAAAGGCCGTTTGAGTAGCAATATACAAAACAAAATGAATGAATACTGTCCAAATTGAATCACAAACTGACCGTGTCAGAATCCTAATCAGGAGGAGACGACCGCAGAAGATGATAAAACAAAAAAAGCTCTCAATAATTCAGGGGGAGATTTTAGTTCTATTTAATTATAATCGACACTGTTACTCTATCACTTGCTGCCAAATAAGTCCAAGCCAAATTGACCCGTCAATTTCCGACATTTTAAATGGCGTGGGAAAGTTAGGGAATCCAAAGTTGTCAGGCTAACTCCTGATTGGACACTAGGCCTAGGCCCATATGTGGACCCCTGAAACCACAATCAACTTCCTCTCTCTCTCTCTAAAAAAATAAAAAAATAAAAAAAAATAATTAGCACAAGACATTCCTACCTTTCATGATTTTTGTGAAAAACGTTCATACTTTTCGTTTTCTAGTGTATTTCATCCCTATCTTTACCTTTTTTTGTGCAAAATATCATTTTCATCATTTTCCTCAATAAAAAGCTATAAAATAACTAACATGCCCTTCTATTTAAATTAAAAAATATATAAATAAAGAACTAATGGCAATTATTACCCCAATTTTTAAAAAAGTTCAAAAGAGTCCCAAATAAAAAAATAAAAAAGTGGTGGTGGTGGAAAACCCCCATAACACCACAATTATAAGCACTGTTTCTTTTCTTTTCTAAGCATTAAACCTTTACAGGAACACAACAATGGCAGTATCTTTATCTAAGCACTGTTTCTTTACTTTTCCATCCAAGCTCTTGAATTTCTCTCCCAATTTCAACACTACTTTCTCTTCCATTATTGCTAAGCGCCATTTCAATCTATTTGCTTTATACCCATCATGTAATCCCGTAATTCCTACTATGGAAATGGGATTTGTGATGAAATGGAAAAATTGTTCTACCCACTAATGAATCGTCTGAGGGACTCCTCAGGATTTGCCACATGGTAGTACCAAAGGAGTATCCATTGAGGGCTTTTGTTGTACTGATGCAATTTTTGCTTCAAATTCCATGGTTTTTGTCGCATTTTCTCATTCTATATTTATCAATTTTGCTTGAAATAATAGTTACTACAAACTCAGACTCTGTAGTATATTAGGCTTTAGAGATTCATACTCGGCTATAAATTGCGGTGGAGGTGGAGAATTTATTTTATTTTTTTATTTGGGACCCTTTTGAACTTTTTTAAAAATTGAGACTATAATCGCAATTAGTTCTTTATTTTTTTTTATTTAAATAGAAGGGTATGTTAGTTATTTTATAGTTTTTTATTGAGAAAAATGATGAAAATGATGTTTTGCACAAGAAAAAGTAAAAGTAGGGATGAAAGGCATCGAAAAACGAAAGGTATGGACGTTTTTCACAAAAAATCATGAAAGGTGGGGACGTTTTGTGCTAATTACCCAAATAAAAAAATTATGAGAAAACAAGAATCTGTTTTACTGATTTCGAGTGAGCAAATTAACGTGTGGACAATCAATCTAAGACAACTTGGAGAATAGGAGCTAGGTTTTTCATAAAACTTATATCTTGAAAAACTTTATAAATTGTAAAAGAAAGTCTGATACAAAAAACAAGTACCAGAAATAATAGGTCATACAATAAGTTGTAATGTTTCTAGTCATAAGGGTCCACCAGCACTAAGATGATTAGACATTGTCACGTGCACGATATGAAAATCGTTGTCTATGGAAAAAATCTAGCCATTTATCAACAACTTTTAGTAATTTCAAGAGTTGCACTCCTAGTCTCCTAGATGGCATTACATTCTATAGTCCAACCACATATTTGTAAGATGATTGACAAGAAAGCCCACAATTTGTAGTGTAGCACTGTTACATATGATTACCAATTTGATTTATGCTTCATAGGTTGCAGACATTGTAACTAGAATAACCAGTTGATATTCTCCATTTCTCGTTTTAAGGGTTTTGTTTTTAGTCATTGTAAATCCCTTTTTCTTTTTTCCCTTTTTCCCCCCCTTCTCGTGTCCATTCGGTTTTCTCAAGTGATATCATGAATGGTACTAATTAATTGCATTGTTTTTTAAGCAAATTAAGGGTCCGTTTGGTAGGATTTCTACTTTTTATAGAAAACTCCGTTATAGCTCGACAAAGAACTTTTAGAAAATTATTAAAACATGTTCAAAAGCAGGTTTTAGTCTCAAAAATAACTTTGGACTTTTCAAAGATCATAACAAACAAGCGCTAAAATTATTAAATTTATTATTAGGAGTGAAATCGAGTTTGGAATCACCTAGAATATTTGTTCTGATCTTAACTAGGGTTATAAGAAAGTTAAATTAAATGAGCTGGGTTCGGTTAAGAACAAGTTCATGTTGGTCCTTCGGGCGCTAAAAAGCTACTCTATCTATCCCATAAAGATGATCTTACTCTCATTTTTTGCTTATCCCAAATTAGATATCACTTTTCTTGTAGGAAGTATAGGTGAGTTTTAGTTTTCTAATATACCCATATTTAATGTCTCTTGTTATCAACAAATATGTATTACTCTTAATTAAACCATTATTTAATGGAGAAAGTATATTAGAAAAAATGTAAGAAAAAAATTATATTTCCAATTATATTATTTAAACTTTCTTAATTTGTATAAAATATAAACAAATATGTCTTTGTAAGACGTAGGGAATATTAAACTCACTGGCTTTGTGCCACAGTCTCTCTCAGCTAGATCATTAAAAGCAGTGCGATAAATCAAAAAGATGTGCAAGAATGACGACATGGCAATGAGAACCAATTTAGCAAGCTTAACTCGAGAAAACCCCAAATGGTCACTGAATTTTGTCGAAGACCCCTGGGAAGTCACCGAATTTCAAAACATCCCTAAGTAGTCACTGAACTTTGCTCGAAGTCCTCCAAGAGGTTATCGAACTTCAAAACGTCCTTAAATGGTCACTGAATTTTGCAAAAAATTTCTAAAGGGTCACCAAAATTGGCAGATTGGGACCCCATTCATCTTTGCAAAGTTCAATAATTTGCAAACTTTGGTGACCCCCTAAGAATTTTTTGCAAAGTTTAGTGATCATTTAGGGACGTTTTTAAATTCGGTGACCTCTAGGGAGATTTCAAGCTAAGTTCAGTGACTACTTATAGACGTTTTCAAGTTCGATGACCTTTTTGAGGACTTTCAGCAAAGTTCAGTGACCATTTGGGGTTTCTATTGGCCCAAAATTTGACCTGATCAGTCCTTATGGGACTCTACCAAAAAAAAAAAAAAAAAAGTTTTGTTTTTTTATGGAAAAAAAAAAAAAAAAAAAAAAAAAAAAAAAAAGAGGAGAATATACAGGTTAATCCTCCATCCATTACAAAATGATTTGAAACACACGTATATGTAAATAAATGACAAGACGGGCACATATTGTGGAGGACCTTTTCGGCTGTATGTAGCTAACAATTGGACCCCGCCATGAAAGTGCAACAACTCAAGTCTTTTAGCCACATTGATGGAAAAATCCAGATGGTCCTCAATAGCTAGTTTCAATCTCTATTAAGAGTTCTACATCTGTTATCACACTTCCATGTGTTGAGCTTATTCGTCTATAGCATGGACCATTAACCATGTGATCGATCACATGGCCAAGGCCTAATATTTTGTTTCTTTCGGGTTTCATTCTTTGCTCATTACATTTAATTAATCCATAGAGCCGGAGCAAACTATTCCTACCCTTCAACGTGAGCTAAAATACGAGCAACTTCAAGTTAAAGTACATACCTCACTAATATACAAATTATGTGTAACAATAAAATGTTTTGTGTACATGAGAAAATAGTCGATCATAATATACTCAAATGATGTCTTTTCATTACATGAATAACTGAATCAATTGCCAAGAGCCCATATGAGATTGCGCTCGCCCTCGTCCCATCCGCAAAGCAAAGATGGGATAAAAGTGTAACTCCTTTTGTGTCATGGGTTACCTTCTATCTTCCTCCCCCGTGACTCTCCCAAAGCGATCGGACATGGGGAGGAAGCAGGGGAAGCATGTCGTTCGTAATGGAAAGAAAGATACAGTACTTCGCCTCTTTGTTGGACTGTCGAGTGACAATTGAAGAAAATGAAAGGGCAGCGGAAGATGAAGCGATTGGGGATTCTTCATCACCAGATGGACCAGTATCACTCCCACACATGTAGTGTTCGTGATCTGCCTTTTCGACTATGAATTGATCGAAAGGTAGGGCAGCACAGCCCCCAACCAAGGGAGCGCTTACGTCCGAGAACAACTATCTGATGAAGAGTCTTTATATAAGCATCCAATTAACCTTGTTTTCACAAATATATATCAAGTTCATCTTATCAAGTTAATATTTCTAACAAACCCCTCATTAATTGACAAATACTATCTAAATAACAAAATTGACGTAGAAAGTGATAAATGCTACGGTTAACCATCGCATTGCCAATAAATAACAGGGTACCAATATTTATATTCACAATTTTTATATATACATCCACTTCTAAAAAGATAATTATATTATATTTTTTGACCTTAAGTAAATTTACATAAATAGACATATATAAAATTAAATAAAAATATATTGCTCTAAATTTATCTACTAATGTTTATTTTCATAAATTCTTTTAAACAGTGATTAACTAAAATTCTAATAATCATAAAACATTATCTTTAACTAAAATCATAAAAACCTAATCATAAAATATCATCTTCAATGGAAATTAAAAAAATTAAAAAATAACACATCATTAGAGTTATAATTTCTTCATGATAGGATAAATAGAATCATTTTTTATGCTTTTTTTAAGTATTGATTTGACGAATGAAAACATAAGAGAAATTTCAAAATAAGTTTCAATACTTGTCCAACTATTCTTACATTATAAAAGGAAACACATTTAAAATCATCAATCGAAATATAAATAACCAAAATTATGAGTTCACAAGCAAAAATAAAATAAAATAAAATAAATTAATATATGATTCGAGGAGGGATTTGTTTGGTTGCGTGAGGAGTATACTTAAAGAATCCTATAAATTCGAGAGAGAGAGAGAGATTTGTTAACCTTTATATCTAAATATTAAGGGGCCGACATGATTATATAGAAAATAAGAAGTAAGAATTAGATGAATATAGCGATTTTCGAAATTGTATTAGGAATGTATTTATAGTGTGATGAATATATAAAATTTGTATGGATCTATAATATTTAAATAAATGAATTTAATAAGAACAATTTTGAAATTTTACATGGATGAAAATAATAATTTTTTAAAATTTTAATAGGAATGTATAAAAAGTGTGACGCATATATAAAAATTGTGGATGCAAATAATGGTACCCTAAATAACATGCTCAAGACCATAAGTAAGCAATTAAATCCTATAATAATGACATTAACCTTGGACACAGACCCAAGGAATTGAATAATGTACAAGTGCAAACAGGTTTGTCTAGGCACTCATTACTAAATCATAGAGTAAAACGCGAAATATTCATAGGGCACTCATGCTCGCCTTGGAACTTGTTATTGGGTCACATTCACATATTTATCTAGGGCAAACAAGCACCTCAGCATGTTGAATATGCTGAGACAATGCATACACGAAGACTATAGGGGGTTGGGGAAGGAGGACTTTAATCAAGTCAAGAAATGTTCAAATAATGAAAAGAAATATAAACTAGAAGATCCTATTTAAATGTGAATTGGTAGGCTTTCTATAAACATAGACTGATATGAATGGCCACGAAGCCTAATAGTTTGTGAACGTTGAGAAAAAAGAAAACGATGGGGACACATGCACAAAAGTCATTTTCATAAT